GGTCAGTCGAGTGGCCCGAGTGTGGGCGAGGTGATTGGGTGATGGATCCGTGGTGCTAACAGCGAACGCGTTTTAGCGGGAGCACGACTCCCAACCATTTATGCAACTATCTAAACTTGTTATGCTGTTTAAAAATCGCGGTGTTTTAAGTTCAAACAGCCGCCTGACACGTCCGGTTCGAATTATCCCTTAGCCACTGTTAATTCTGTTCATTTACCCTTAATGTGGTGACAAGGACCTGTTCAAGGCATATAAAACAAAAATGACATTTTGACTGTCTAATATTGTGACTATTCGATAACAATCACTACGAGTAGCACTGTAGACCATTGTTGGCTACGGTTGGAATGTGCCGTGGGCTAAGACGGGAGACAAACATTACGTTTTTGCGCGATACGCCGTCGGCCGTCCCCTGATGTAACTCTTGCCGAGAGACGGCCGTCCCATCCCCGCACTAATGATATTTGTTCAGTCTTGTTATCCTCATCCTCCATAGTCAGCTGATTACGTGATTCAGTGAATCAAACAGCGGGCGTCGGAGATGTGTCTGATCACCTACTTATTCCACTTTGTTCCTGACTACCATCTATATAGGTGACGTTATTTGGGCGCAGGATTGCGGAATGCCTATAGCACTCAACAATCAACATTCATGTACAAATTAGACAAAAAGCGCATACATAAACTATAGTACACCCTACAAATCGCTGCAACCCCCCAGCCACCCACAGAACTGCGCGGGGAACATGCTTTACTTGCCGTGTTGGATGTGTGTGAGTCTGGGCCAGTTATGGTAAGAGCTCATGATGGACCAGTGGAGATCCCGGCGCCGGGCCGGGCCGGCCGAAATGCCCTGCCGCGCTGATCGCATGCTGCCGAGCGGCCCGGCGGCGCCGCCGGAGATGGACATTGTATTGCCCTGGACCCCATCGGCAGACGACCCATCGGGACGGGTCTCCAACTGCGCTGCCCTCTGCAGCGACACACAATCGCCATTCGGAGACGACCAATCTGGAATTTCCGTCTCTGCTGAGTCTGTGCTACCAGGCAATCACATATCGTTAGGAACCCTGCCGAGTGGACTGATATTTGCTCTCATCTGCACGGTTAAACAATGTGTCGCTTCTACTGATTGTGTGAACTTTAGTGGAAAACGTGATTTAAAAAATTTGCTCTATTACTTCGGGATTGCTTTTGCTCATGTTGCAAACATTAATTATGCCAAACAAATTTGCTTATTTTCCTTCTTTGAATGCTTTATACACTTCTAATGTTTGATAAGTTTGAACCTCCATTTGCTGATGAGTTTCCACTCTTTGGCCCATGCGTTTCATTCGAAAGAAAGAGACACACTTATACATTTTATTTTACATCGTGTCAACAGTATGTCGTTCAGTCGCGTCTCTGACCACCACATCTCAGGAGCGAGACTCCACCTTCCCGACATCCAGGGTCAGTGTCGCCGTCGCCGAGCAGGCCTGCCACACGTCTGACAGCTCCTGGGTGGCGCGCAGCACCTGCTGCAGCTTCTGGTGCAGCTCGGCCGGCTCGGCGGTCCAGGGGCACTCCCAGCAGGCCTCTGTGCCGCCTCCCGCACAGGTGGCCGCCCTCACGGCCTCCAGCTGAGTGCGGGCCTCGGAGAGATTCTGCCGGAACCTCCAGACGGTGGGGCACGGCCCGTCAGCCCAGAGTGCGCACGTGCCGTTCAGGAGCAGCTGCTGACCCGCCGGGCAGGGCAGCTCGCCAGCTACTCCTGATGTCATGATGAACGCACACGTGATGAGAAAAACGAACATTATGCTGAGGACAGTTGATCTTTTTTGCAGTCTGGGTGATCAATATACTTCCTATCTCCTTTACTCCGACTTTGATTTCTTATGGCAATTTTCATATGCTGTTCTCGAGTGAATCATCCACCTTTAATGCTTAATTCAGCAGCAATAGTTCTGAAGCATTTTGGAGCGCTTTGGAGGCTTTGGAGAAAGGCTGATACTTTTTTGATAAAAAACAGCATAGCACGTTGAGTAACAAACCCTGATCATCTCTTTGGAAGAAAAAGGTGTAGCGTAAAGGCTTTTCGTGAATGTGGCGTTTGTCATAGTGTGCTGGTATACAACGGTGCTGGTACACAATTATACTGCCCTTATTCCAGTAAGTATCAAGTGCCATGCCTATTTGCATTCCCTGTAGTCCAACAGAAGCATATTCGACAAACACAAAATGTCATCAAGTGAAAGGCATTACATCAAAACTGTCATCCCAGGTTTTGTTTCGCTGTCTTCACGTGCTGGCTCTCTATGCAAGCTGATATAATTTTATGATGTCCAGAAGGCCGAATGGGGCGCCGCCGATTGGCCTCTTAATTCACTCCGAGGCACCTCTCCCGCTGTTTGCAGCTGGTCTGGTTCAGCTCAAACGAGTCCTTTAGATGTTACCTAATTAAAGAAGCTTGTTATCAAAATGCTCAACGTTAACAAAGCCAGCGGAATCCTTTAGGCAGTTGTCCTCAGGTGAATAACTGACCCAATTAGCAATGTTGTTCTTGGTTTCGACTATGGCAAAACCGCTAAACTGCATATTATTTCGTCATTCGGCGTGCTAACCTTCCGGCTACAGTTCAGTTGTACTGATATATCTGCTTTTTGTTTCCCGCTATCTCATACCACATTTATGATATTGTTATGATTGAGTTTTTCGACATGTGCTGAATAATTTGTTTTCAGGTTATCAATAAATTCACAGCCTTCCTACCGCCGCGCCGGTAATATTCCGCTGCCGTTCGGCCATTTCAAATGCCTCTTCCTTAGATGTTTAACAGAGCGAGAGACCGGCTGGCCTCGACAGTCGGCGTTGTATGTATAAGCTCCACTTTTTGCGTGTTTCATGTGACTCACATTTAGCCTATCTTATTACACTGACCTGCATCAATTCATGCGTGGAATGAAATGCTTTGGTGGTTGACTTTGAGTGGGAAGGGGGCAATATGAAATGAGTTCGGCTACATGCTTACGAGTTATGTAGCTTGTAATCGATTGTTACTCTAAGCGATCATAACACGAAATGCCTGTTGGCGCATCAAGACTGCTTCCGCTTAATCAATTACTGCAAACAAATTGATAGTCTCTCATACCAGGGCCTTACTGCAATACTGCCAACATTTACATACTCGCCAGTCGCCATGTACTATGAACTCCCTGCCCATTATTTAGCGCAGATGAGCAAGAAAGAGAAACTCGTCTCTGCCATGGTCACGCGCTGGCTGGCCGCCGCACTTGCCGAGCAGTTCCAATATCCATGCATATGAACGGCATTCGCCATGCATGCCTGGCTTTCATATGCTAAGCCGGCGATTTATCGGCATTGCCATCAGCCTGTCGCTCAGGAGGAGGGCGATCAGCTTCAAAGTTTGATCAGCCTCGGAGTGGCAGCGATCGGCCGGATCGAGGAAAAGTTCGCTCCGGGGGCCGACTCCACCGGTAGGATTAAAATGTTCATGGTCGTTACACACTTTTTAAGGACCGTTTCCCAGGACATTATGTAGATTTCAAGCAATCTGGTACCCACGACTCATGCGTTAAATTTGCATACCCTAAAGGATAGTGAATCTGAAACGTCAATAATGCGTTTTTTATACGTTTATATACACCTTTATATTTATATTTATTATATTATATATATCATATTTATATTTATATATACCTTTATACGTTGAAGTTTATTTGCAAATTTAAATACTAAATTTGTCGGACTGGACATTGGGCAAGCGAGTGACTATGTGCCATGGTTCCATACTAAGCACTAAGCAGGACTCGTTGAGAAATGCATCATGTCCCACTGCTGCGCTGCCCGATTCCATTTCATCGGCTGCAATTTAGTATAAGTTAGAGATGGGATCCAATCCAACAGCAAGTACGTAGATCCTCCTGGGTCCAGCAGCGCGGCCCTCTCTGGACTGGTAGCAGTTGCCAGTCGTCAAAGTTTGCACTCCGCGCGCGTAATCAAAACACAAGCGTGAAGATCAGGCGCCTGACAGAACGTTCTGTCTGTTGACCTCTCCACCGCTGCAGTATAAAGTGACCTTTATGTTAGCTGACCCATCCTCTCTGCCCGCCACCCTGAAGTAGCAATAACTTTCTCAGATGACCTTCCCCCGTCACAATAAGGTCACCGTATGTAAGCTGATTCTCTCCACCGTTCCGTGCTTCTATCCTCAGGATACTGAAATCCTTCTCCTCCACGCCGCAACCCCCCTCCGGGCTGGACAGGCAACTTTATCTCATGCGGGCTGCTCCCTTGGAGCGGCACCGCTGCTCCTGAGGGAGCGCACCCCGTAGCCGGGTGCAGTGAGTGCCTTGGGGCTGGGTGGCCTGTCCTCTGGACGGGCTCAGCCCCGGCGACTCACTAGGGTGCCTGCCCAGACCAATGTCTCCCCCTATATCCTACCATCCTTCCGGCTCTGCAATGGTCTTGTCGACCGAAAGGGCCTAACCCAACAAAACAAAAAACAAAGCTGATTCTCTCTCTCTCTCTCTCTCTCTCTCTCTCTCTCTCTCTCTCTCTCTCTCTCTCTCTCTCTCTCTCTCTCTCTCTCTCTCCCCGTCACTTAAAGTGACATTATGTTAGTTGACTTCCCCCGTCAGGATGAAGTGACGATATCTCCGTTGATCTCTCTCTCTCTCGTCACCACAAAGTGAGTTTATGCCACCTGACCCTCCACTCTCCCCGTCCTCCATGCAAAGTGACGCTATATGCCAGCTGACCGCTGCCCCTGCCCCGTCACTATAAAGTGACGCTAGGTCACCTGACTCTCCCCTCTCCCCGTCCTCCATGAAGTCAGTTGACCTCGCCCATCTCCCATAAGGATGAAATGACAGCGTGTCAATGGGCCGCTCAACTCTTCCCCCATCATCATGGAGTCACAGTAACTATCTCAGCTGACCCCTCCTCTCCCCGTCAAGATCAAGTGACTATCTCAGCCTGACCTCCCCTCTCACCGTCAGGATGAAGTGACGCGGGGGGCGATGTCCGGCCGGAAGCTGTTCTCACGCGGCCAGAAGCGCGGCTCCGAGGGCGGCTCGAAGGCGGCCGTGCGCTACACACCCTGCTCCAGACAGGAGCTGCAGGCCGACGACGAGCTGGATGATATCGCCGTCGTCTCCAACGCCGAGCCGGGTCAGGTCCGGTACGGCAGCGGCGCCGTCACCGCCAACGGGCCCAAGGTGGTCCCAGGTGAGACCAGGGAGCCGGACCAGGTACAGACGGCAGCGAGCCCAAGGTGAGACCAGGGGGAGGGGCAGGTCCGCAGCGGCAGCGGGCCCAAGGTGGTCTCTAGTAGAGATGTCAATCGGATACCAATTTTTTGGTATACCGATACCAAACCGATACCAACTTGGTATTTGGTATTTCAGTCGTAATGTGTTTGGTATTTTGTTGGTATCAGAAGCCCTCACTAATGTATAAGAGGCTAAGAAATCGGTAAAAAGTTGGTATTTCCCTCAGGTTCCCAAGTTGGTTTGGTTTCGGTATTTTCCCGTAGTTTTGGTTGGTATTTGGTTTGGTATCGGTATTCCGATTTTCCGTAATTGACATCACTAGTCTCTAGTGAGACCAGGGAGCCGGACCAGGTACAGACGGCAGCGGGACCAAGGTGAGACCAGGGGGAGGGACAGGTCCGCAGCGGGCCCAAGGTGGTCCCAGGTGAGACCAGGGATGGCAGGGACGTCCCAGGTGGGTAGTCGGAGTCCGTGAGGGATCAGAGGGCAGTCGAGAATAGATGGGTCCGGGGAGTCGGGGAGTCGGAGTCGCAGAGGGACCAGTCGAGGAGTCAGGTAGAGTTCAGTAAAGGGTGAGGCTTAGGGAAGAGTTTGGGGAGTGGTCAGGGATGGGTCAAGTGTCAGGGAGTGTCAAGTGTCAGGGAGTTAATCATCGGACAGGATAAATGGCAAAGGATAATGGTCCAGTTAATGAAAGGTCAAGGAGGGACCAGCCGAGGAATTCATGCAGTTTCTTTGAGTCAGACAGGCTGGGCCCAGGGAATAAGGTAAATGTCAAATGGGAGTCATTAGCTGTGTTTACATAGGAATTGTTGCAAGCTTATAGCTCCGCCCGGTATGTTGCGAAATATGCTTATGTTGCTTTAAAATTTACAAAATGATCCCCTCTAAATATACGAAGATCAGTACATCGGAATTATAGCAAAATAAATAAGCTAGTTAGAGCCTCGTCAAAAATGCTATGTAAACGCGACTATAGTTGGTGGTGAACATTTACAGGTCACATGAGGTGAAATGGGTATTCCGATTGGTATCATGGAGATAGCGGACTTTTGCTCCGGGCCATGGCGAAGGGATGAATACAGGGCCACTGGCCAGCGACACAAGCAAGTGGCGGGGTCAGGCGTACAGCGAGAGCCAAACGAACGCTGCTCTTTGGTGCTAACTGGGGTCACTGAGTACGTGTTGTCGGGTTCAAAGGTAAAAATAAGTTTGCTCTGGGCCGGAGTTCAGGTGGTACAAAGTAATGATGCAAGGTAAAGTTGATGAGGCAAGGGGCTCAGATTTAACGGGATTGAAAGATGAGAGGCCTGACATTTGATACAAGCGCCAGCTATAATAAGAGACCGGTGCATAGCTGACGCTGACAAAGTCATTTATTACAAATAAATTTCAAGAAGTTCAGATAGCGTTCTCTGTAACTCGACACATTGCAACAGAGTTGAAACCTAATTGCGAAAGAGAAGGGTAAATTGTTAAATAACTCCCCGTTTGCACCACTGTGGAGCCCCGTTGTCACCGCATTTGACTGATTGTGCGTTCCAGGCATCATCACGTCGCGCGGCCAGGAGCGGCTCAGCCAGTCGAGCACGCGGCTCAACACCACCTCGCCGGCGGCGGCCGCCAAGGCCTCGGTCGACTCGCTCAAGTGCCGCTCGGGCTCCAAGCAGTCGCTGATCGAGCTCGTCTCCAGCCGGTTCAGCGTGCGCGGCGGCAAGCGCTTCAGCCGCGACTCGTTCAGCAGTTCGTACATCAACCGGGCGCAGATCTCCGAGCTGGACATCCCGCGCAAGACGCGCGAGGCGCGCCGGCGCGAGATCCGCACCAAGCTGCTGGACGGCTACCGGCGCGACGAGGGCCGGCACGGCTGCCGCTGGACGTTCGTGTTCGATCCGGCCGGCCGGCTCTGCTACTACTGGAGCATGGTCGTGTCGCTGGCCTTCCTCTATAACTTCTGGGTGATCATCTACCGATGTGCTTTCCGCGAGATAGCGCCGGACACAGTGGTGGTGTGGTTCGTACTCGATTACATGTCCGACCTCATCTACGCGCTGGACATTGCTTTTCATTTCCGCACCGGCTACCTGGAGGACGGTGTGCTACAGACAGACTCGGTGAAACTGCGAACGCACTACATGAACTCGACGACGTTTTATATCGACGCGCTCTGCCTTTTACCGTTGGACTTCTTGTACTTGTCGATAGGCTACAACTCGATACTGCGCTGTTTCCGTCTGGTGAAAATCTACCGGTTCTGGGCGTTCATGGACCGCACGGAGCGGCACACCAACTACCCGAACGTGTGGCGCACCGTGTCGCTCATCCACTACCTGCTGGTGTGCTTCCACTGGAACGCCTGTCTCTACCACATCATCTGCATCAACCGCGGCTTCAGCGACCAGTTCGCGCCGCCGCGCAACCACACCGTCGACGACGTGGTGCTGGAGCACCTGGTGGCGCTCTACTGGTGCACGCGCGCGCTCACCACCATCGGCGACCTGCCGCAGCCGGTCAACAAGGGCGACTACCTGTTCATCGTCACACAGCTGCTGTTCGGCATGTTCCTCTTCGCGGCCGTGCTCGGGCACGTGGCCAACATTGTGGCCAACGTCAGTGCCGCGCGCAAAGAGTTCCAGGGTGAGTACCCACCGGGGAGTTCCGGGGTGAGTACCCACCGGGGAGTTCCGGGGTGAGTACCGCCGCGGGCACTGGCACGGCAGGGGAGGTCCTGGGTGAGTGTCATTGCCGGGAAACCTCACCCATGTAGCATTTGTTAGCATGTTCGTATGTAGTAGCCATGGCACCTCACTGTATTTCTCTCATTTTATGTAAGCCATTTTGACCGCACATTTACACTTTTGCGCTCGTTTAACCCGGCCGGGCCCGGGGGGTAATCCCAACCACCGCAGCCCGGGGGGGGGGGCGTTTTTCGCCCCCCCTGTCTAACTCCGTAAATAAGGGAGTTACGGAAACAAAAGCGATACCAAACGAAAGGTCCTTACGAGACGATTCTAATGCACCTAAAATTTTTGACCTCAGGTCAATTTTCAAGGTCAGAGGTCAAGGTCAAAGGCAAAAACCACCACATGTGTAGTGATCTCAAAGTAAGCCTTCTAGAGGACGGCAGGCTGCATCAAACCGGAAAAATTGGCTGTCAAACGAAAGAAGAGAATCTGAGGATTCTGAAAATGTGCTCAAAGTGAAAGGTCAAGGTCAAGGTCACACTCAAAATTGACCTCAAACTTGGCACTTTTTCGCATATCTTGCGTGCTAACTTCCAAGATGTTTTGAAATGTTTTGAGGCTTATCAGTTCCCTATTTGTGGTTCATCTTACGATACAAGGCTGCTCAAAGGTCAAGGTCACAGAAGAGTATCCCTGCTAGAGGCTATTTCACTGATTCAAGTTAGTAATAATAAATAAGACAATTTTGCAATCCGGAAGCTCTAAATGAAGGCTTAGAGGAAAATAGATGCCAGATTCGTGATCAGCAGGTACAAATCCATCATAAACGACCTTTCATGTGTCAAGGTCAACCAGAGGTCATTCGAGGTCACATGAGGTCAACATAAAATTTGACCTTTTCCGAACAAAATATATATCATTCGACGCGGCTTGACAAGGCAAATGCGATGGTACCACTGCCGTAGCTCTAGGACCATTTTTGTCGAAGTTATTTGCGAAAAACTAAAACCACATTTCGGGGTCGTTGACCTGACCTCTGACCTCAGGTCACCAAAACTATTTTTCTATTTTTCTCTAGGTCAAACGCTACACAACCGTGCTCGTAATTTGTCTTTATCTCTAAAACTCTATTCTTAGCAGCTATTTGAAGTTTGCGTCTCTGACGTCGAAGTTTGCCGTGCAGGGGTCTAGAAAAATGGACCTTGTGACGTCATCAAGGGGGCTAGGTCCAAATTTTTTACTTCAGAAGATGTCAAATTGATGGGAGAAAAGGTACTGAAAGTTTCGCCTTCCTATCCCTAAGCGTTCGGGAGCTATCGCAAATATTCGCCAGGGGGGGCGAAAAACGCCCCCCCCGGGCCCGCGAGGGTTAAAGCGAGGCCACTCTCCATAACGTTAATCTCAACAATGTTTAATCGGTTGAAAAGTTTATTTTCGAATGTGAATTATGAAAATCTCCTTTTAGAAATAGTGAAACCCATGCAGATTTAGGCATTAAAGGGACCCTCCCACCTTCAAAAAAGTTAATGAATTAGCATGAAAGTGATGTCGCTCGATTCAGAAAGAGCAAAAACGAACATGTACCAAATTTCACCGAAAAATATTTACCGGTTTTCAAGATATTAGACTTTTACTTTTGTTTACTTTTTTTGGATCTCCGCTGTTCCTAGCGACTTCATTTTGGAAGTGCGGTGTTCGCGGCAGATGTTGCGCGCAAAGCAGCATATACCACCGCGTGCTACAAAACGTTTTAGTCAAACATTTAAAAATCGTTAGATATCTGCGCTGACGTCACACATTCAGAGGGGTATTCCTATGCATTAGCCCCTCTGAATCAAAATGCTGCAATTTTGAAATTCAATATTTCAGATTTAAGGCATTTCTCGATGTTGTGAGTGCCGAAACCGGTAATTGTGAGCCAGGGACCCCATTTTGGCTATCTCAACTCAAATCTAATGTTAAGGTGGGAGGGTCCCTTTAAATGCTAAATGGCGAAACTTCAGCTCTCACACGCTTTAAAGTTCACAGCGTCTAGGCATTAACAATAACATACAGACTTGCATCAGTTTTTCTTTCTTAGCGACAATGCGGCCATAAGCCTGGCATATTTTTTTTCTGTACCTACATAGGTATGAGTTTTATAAAGCGTTGATGATGATCCATACAAACCAAAGGTATGTAACGCGACTGGTCAATAAATTAGTCATAAGGTCATGATAGGTAGGTACGTACAGCCCTCTGCAAACTGCGTGGTGGGTATTATTTTTTTTCGACAAAACCGAGAATAACGCGAGTGGTATGCTAACGGTCACTCGGAAATCGTAACAGCAATAGGTACTCGCGAGACTCGGCACCTTAGATTGGCATTACCGCCGTATTTATTTTCCATCCAGTTTGGCAACAAAACCCAAAAGTTTATATTTGCCCCAAAAACAAACTTTTGCATTTTGTTGCCACTCAAGGCATAGGTATACTTTGTTAAGTGATAGACCCGATCGAAGGAGTGGCGCATGGCGCCTCTATTTGCAATGAGTTCCTACCGAATGATAGCATAGTCATTGAGTTATTACCGGTTTTGTCGAAAAAAGAATGCCTATCACGCAGTCTGCTGAAGGCTGAACATACCTACATCCAAGCGAGCGATCAATTAGTAATCGTTGAGAGCAGTAAAGCTGATGTCGAAAGTCGCCCATCACGCTTGCTGTTGTTTTTCATTTCTCTGAGGCGTCACGCGTTTACGAAAAATGTCCATATTTGCCATTTCATCTACCCATGGACTTGTATGGCAGTATAAGGACGTAGTAATAGGCATGGGTGGAGCTTTTCCAGGAAAGTTGGTGGGGCAAAAAGTCGTCAAACTTACAGTGTCCGATTGTCAAGTTGAATAAAATGCCGCACTCAATCAAATTCTATCGTTACAGAATACAGATGCAACATTTTGTATTACACAGACATTCCAAAACTCATCAATGCGAAAAAGGTTTATTTGCAAAGCACAAAGTCCTACAAAATAGCTTAAGTTGGTGGGGCAAAACGCTTATTGGTGGGGTAAAATGGCAAGTTGGTGGAGCAGCTGCCCCACCAACTGAATAGGAAGCTCCGCTCCTGGTAATAGGTACGTATTTGTTACCTTTTTGTAGTCGTTCGTTTACCTGATCCTTGTCATGCCTGCATCATTATTAACCACACTGTTTCTTCATATTTCTACCCTATCTATAACAGCATGGCTTCTCCAACAGTCTATTCATACCGCGGAATTTATCTTTTAGCCTTTGACGTAAGACCAAAGCCAGTTCGGCAGAGCGCTGTATCATGGGCCAGATCAGGTGACACCATAATTTTTCCCAAGAAAACATCCAATAACCTTACCCTTGAACACATTCGATTACCGTATAAAGTAGCAAAATCAACCGCCATTCTAAGAAGATTTACATGCTGGCGCTCTGCCATGATGCATGGCGAAATTGATGTGTTATCTGTTGATCGTCGACATTAATGTTATAAGCAGCAATTTCAATGGCGATTACGTATTATGCCACTACAAAAATGTGTAATTAGCCTGACTCAATTCCTTAAGAACAGTAAATACTTCATCGTAGATCATTGTCATGCAAACTACGCTCCATTGTTTCGGATAATATAATTTGTGCAACTGCAGGGCGGGCCGGACAGACGGGCGGACCGGAACCATAGGCCATCAACGAACGCGGTCCGCCGGGACACATCGGCGTCAAATACACTCATATCACTTCCCGCTTTATTCTGTGAATCAAAAACAACGGGATCAATGGAGATACCGAGCCAGTGTCGCAGGTGTCATGACTTAAAGTTTCAACCCGCAGAATGATTCATTGGCGACTGATATGCTGAATATGCCATGGCCCGATGCGTGTTATACTCTTAAATATTCTATTATTTTCAATCATTTAAACAAGATGTCAATCAATGTTCACCGGTCTTTCCAACATAAACCAGAGAAGTACCAACGAAAACCTGCCTATCCAGAATACTTTTAGCACAACTCAAATATTTGGAAGAGTGATCGCTTGACTTAGTATGTAGAGGTTTGATGACAAGACAGACATTTCATCGATTCGATATCCTCCAGCGCTGCATCTGCCCCCTAACTGCATCACTTCATAAATCTATTAAGAAAAACGTTCAAAACGCGGTTTTATCTACGTTTTATCATGTTTCTTTGACGCCTTACTTATTTGTTAATCGTCTTTAATTTAGCTTCGAAAGACGAAAATGATAAATCGGTATGCCTACTTGTCACTGGAATATGTTCGCAGCTGTGAGTGAAACCGTGGAAATCTGATATATAAGATATCTATGAGTGAAACACACTCTCAGCTATATCAGGAATGTGAACACTGAACATGTTATGTGAGGATGTGAACACATTTGAGCTTATGACACGTTATTACTGTCATTTACAGCCAAGCTGGACGCTGTGAAGACGTACATGCGAATGCGGCGAGTACCTGGTCACCTGCAGAATAAGGTCATCAAGTGGTTCGACTATCTGTGGCTGACGCAGAAGAGCTCAGACGAGGAGAAGTCCGTCAGCTGCTTACCAGGTGAATTGCTTCCCTCTGACGCAGTTCTCTCCTATTGTCACTTTGTAATTACCTATAAAAATGTCGATTGTCGATCGTAATAGGTTCATATATGTATGCATCACACTCTAGTGAATTCTTATATCTTTCAATACTACCTTCACATCTTCGCATCGAAACCAAACATAAAACGAAACGGGCTGAGCGAATCTCGAAGAGAGCCCACTGGCGGCAGCTGGATGGCGGCCGAATTCAATCAGAGACTGCGCGAAGGTCGGGCGGGTGGAATTCCGACCGACACGCTGGATGGCCGCCGGCGGGCCGGCTGGATCCATTTCGCGGCCACTGCCGGCCGGCGGACGGCCCCGCCGGGCCAGTTGGCTCTCCCCACACGTTCGAAAACCGGGCCGGATTCGGCTATGACGCGGGCGGTGAGCGGCCGGTCCCGCCTGCTCAGCAGAGGCCCGCCGATTGGAAATGGACGGAGCGCAGGACAGACGGGCCGCGCTCTGGTAAAGGACCCACGCTGCGCCGGGACCCGCGGGATTGCTACACTCGTGCCACGGGGAGAAGCTGCCGGTGCACCTGCAGAGATCGGATCTGATTTAACAACAGAAAAAGAAACGTTTTCTGTATAACTATTTTTTTGGTGCATCACAGAGCACTTCTTGTGTTAAGTGATGTGCATTGTATTGTTTAAAACGAGTTTGCAGGGATTACCTATAAAGTTGAGTTAGAAAGCATGCTGGTTCTAATGTGCCTGATGCAACCTTTGCAGATAAGCTGAAGGCGGAGATTGCGATTCACGTGCATTTAGACACGTTGAAGAGGGTGGAGATCTTCCAGAACACAGAGGCCGGCTTTTTGTGCGAGCTGGTGTTACGTCTGCGGCCAGTGCTCTTCTCACCAGGGGACTACATCTGCAGAAAAGGTAAGGTCTACGCTACACATTTGATCTAGAGGCTACATTTGCAGGAAGGGTAGATCTTACAACTGACCAATGGACTGCATTTGCAGGAAAGGGAGGTCTGCACATCCGATCAGAGCTTACAATTTACATTAGCAGGAAACGCCTATGCAGCCATGTTTTGTCTGAACTCTCCATTCTCCCTCGTCAGTGCTGAAGTCTCAGTTCTCGCATCGGCTGTGCTGCTAGGCCCTTATCTCTCCCCCCCATGCCAGCTACACCGGGAAGTACGGGGACCTCGCAGTGTTTGCCAACTGATAAAAGGCCAGCATGGTGTCCCGTGATCGATAAAACCCAACAGGAAGGTGCCCGTGTGGCTGACAACAGCTTTGATGTGTGCTTTGTTTGCCTGTGAAAGGTGCCTTTGAAACATTTCAATTAACTAGGAAAATGTGTAATTTCAATCGTTTACAATCACAATCATGATCACGAATATCAGTCAAGGATAAATATAACAACGATAACAAACAACAGACACAACACTTGAGCCCCTTACAGTGACTATTTTACACGTCTTTTATGTAACATTATTCACTAGGGAATCTGAAATAAGCACCAGCGTTTTTATTGTATTGGGTCCACTCCTAGCGCCCAGCGAATCGTCTTCCTCTGCCGTGCCCGTGACCCACAATGAGGGAATCCCCAGCAGTCAGCACAGCACAGCCCAGCAGTGCCGCGCCTCTGTCACGGGCGCCACTCTGGCTCCACACGCGGCACCTGAGCCGCGAGTCAGTCGTACCGCGGTCCCTGTGACGGGTCACCCTGTGACTGCAGTGACTCCGACTGTTAGTTGGCGCTGTCTGGGACTGAGGCTGTTGGCGGTGCTGTCTGAGGCTCCGACTGCTGGCGCGGGTGCTGCCTGGTGCTCCCGGATGCTGTCTGTGGCTCCCGGGTGCTGCCTGGTGCTGTGTGGTCCTCTGACTCCTCTCGGGCGCTGTCTGGTCCATTGACTCCTCTCGGGTGCTCTCCGGTGCCGTATCAGATGCCGGTGGCCGGCTGGCAGCTGCGCCCGCCGCTGAGATGTGGCTGGCGCCGGCTCCGATCGAGCACCCCCCCCCCTGCCCCCCCGGCCGGGGCGGGCCGGTCCGGTTCCCACCCGGCCGTCCGGTCGCCGCGCCGTGGCCGTCATATATTTCGCACAGAGCCGTCCGATGGGTGATCCGTTACCGGCCGGGGCGCTGAGTGGCGCGCCAGACGCCAAGGCGCCCAAATGAATCCAGAGCCGACCCGAACGGATTTTATTTGTAGCCGTAAATTCGGCTAAAATGGCGGCACGAAGACTGACTCGGCCAATCGGGTGGAGTGGCTCCGTGCAGTTACGTATTCAAATTGACGCGGTGCGTCAGATTCGGAGCTCAGTGTGGAGCACGGAACCGGCTCCAGCTGCGGGTGCTTTCGAACTTTGCAGGTGTTTATTGGTATCTTTGCCATTCCGACGGGGATGCAAATTGACGGGGATGCATATTGCATATGGATGCGTCGTTGTAACGTTGTTGACGTGCAAAATCATTATCAATCAGCCTACATATTCAAGTTCATATACCTGATCAAGCACGTTAGTAGTTATTCTTGGGTCTAATAAACTTTCTCTTATGCTCACTGTTGCGCAAAGATCACAACTGATGAACAGCCACACGCCGACGGGATCGTCTTACCTAACGAGCGGAAGGCCGCGCGCCTCGGCTGACGTGTGAGCTGGGCTGGGCTGGCCGACTCAGCCGACTCAGGTTACACCGGAGACGACTGAAAACTCGTGGCCTCTCCGGAGACCGCTCAGTTCATGTTCCTGACGGTGTACCGTGGCGTCCGAGTGTAGCGGATTGTCACTCAGTGTCTGCTAGCAGTGCTAGATCCTCCAACAGCCCACGGCTGGAAATGGTGAACAGGCTGAGAGTTGACACTACATACACACGGAACTGAATGGAGGTTGGATGGATCCCCAGCTGTGCGGGGTTTCAGCAAAAGTTTGATCGATCTATTGTGGCATCGCCTGTAAAACCAATGTTACCAGACTGATAATTAGCAAATGAAACAACAAGGTGTGACTGCATAAGCTCAACTTATAAAAATCATTTAAATTTCATTCCAGCACATGCCTTTGCGCCTTTGTCCGTACATTCAAGAAAAAACATAACCGACAATTTATTTAAAAAAAAAAATGTGCAAAGTAGAGTATTATCAGAGACTTTAATGCCGGGCAGCATCAATAGTGAACATATCATACAGTTAGGCCTATGATGTGTTTGAAGAGTGTTAATTACCGGCTGCTCAGCATGGAAGCAGCAGAAAATTTACAGGCAAGTGCCGGTGTAGCTCCGATCCGAACAACTGTGCGCGAGACGCCCGACTCGGAATCCCATTAAAACAATATTCACCCACATTTATCATAAAGAAATTAGCAAGCGACAACTACACTGACACCACGGTCAGTACCCAGTCGACTCAACCATATGCGTGGTCTCGACTCTCGGTCTTCATTTGGACGTGTCTGCTCCGTCCTATTTCACTCCCAAATGCAATAATTGGTCCCCGGTGGCGCCGGTCTGTATTTGGCTCGCCCGCTGTGGAGCCCGCGGCGGCGCGGGCCCGGCTGCCAGTCGGTTCCCAGTGCAGTGGCGCGCGCTGCGTGGGCTTGCGCTCTGCCCCAGAGCCGGCTGGGAGCGCTCCGACCCGGCCCGGCCCGCGGTCCGCGCACCGAGAGAGAGAGCATCGATCGGCTCAGTGCAGCCGGCGACCGCCCTCTGCCGACCGCCCTCTGCCCGCAACAGACATCCACCCTCTGCCCGCCACGGACAGCCGATTTCTGCCCGCCCAGAGTCACAGACAGCCGCCCTCTGCCCGCCCAGAGTCACAAACAGCGGCCCTCTGCCCGCCCAGAGTCACAGACAGCCGCCCTCTGCCCGCCCAGAGTCACAGACAGCCGCTCTCTGCCCGCCCAGAGTCACAAACAGCGGCCCTCTGCCCGCCACAGACATCCACCCTCTGCCCGCCACGGACAGCCGATTTCTGCCCGCCCAGAGTCACGGACAGCCGCCCTCTGCCCGCCCAGAGTCACAGACAGCGGCCCTCTGCCCGTCCAGAGTCACAGACAGTGGCCCTCTGCCCGTCCAGAGTCACAGACAGCCGTCCAGAGTCACAGACAGTGGCCCTCTGCCCGTCCAGAGCACAGACAGCCGATCTCCGCCCGCCCAGAGTCACAGACAGCGGCCCTCTGCCCGCCACAGACAGCGGCCCTCTACCCGCCCAGAGTCATAGGCAACGTCCAGAGTCACGGACAGCGGCCCTCCGCCCGCCCAGAGTCACAGACAGCAGCCCTCTGCCCGCCCAGAGTCACAGACAGCCGCTCTCTGCCCGCCCAGAGTCACAGACAGCAGCCCTCTGCCCGCCCACAGTCACAGACATCCGCCCTCTGCCCGCCACGGACAGCCGCCCTCTGCCCGCCCAGAGTCACAGACAGCCGCCCTCTGCCCGCCCAGAGTCACAGACAGCCGCCCTCTGCCCGCCCAGAGTCACAGACAGCCGCTCTCTGCCCGCCCAGAGTCACAGACAGCGGCCTCTGCCCGCACAGAGTCACAGACAGCCGCCCTCTGCCCGCCCAGAGTCACAGACAGCCGCTCCCTGCCCGCCCAGAGTCACAGATAGCGGCCCTCTGCCCGCACAGAGTCACAAACATCCGCCCTCTGCCCGCCACGGACAGCCGCCCTCTGCCCGCCCAGAGTCACAGACAGCCGCCCTCTGTCCGCCCAGAGTCACAGACAGCCGCCCTCTGCCCGCCCAGAGTCACAGACAGCCGCCCTCTGCCCGCCCAGAGTCACAGACAGCCGCTCTCTGCCCGTCCAGAGTCATAGGCAGCGTCCAGAGTCGTCACAGGCAGCGGCCCTCTGCCCGCTCAGAGTCATAGGCAGCGTCCAGAGTCACAGATAATCGATGTCTGGCCGTCTAGAGTCACATACAGTCACCCTCTACCGCCCAGATTCATTGACAGCCGCCCAGAGTCACAGACAGTCGCTCCCTGACCACCCAGAGTCACATGTCCTCGAACGCACCCCAATTCGCCTAGGTAATTATCTCACCCAAAGTCTTGAGGTTTTGCCTCACAGCACTTGTGAGCTTTTTGATAGCGTTCCACGCATTTTGATAGATTGCTTAGTCTAGCATATAAACTTATACGACTGTCAGCACCTCAAAGAAAATCTTACAAACTTTTAATAGAAATGATAAGCTCTGTCACCGACATCGTTCGAGCACATTCAAAGACCCCAACAGCGAGCATATTAAAAGTTCCTGTTCAAGGAACAGGAACATTCCTTGAATCTTTATTCTAACGCTATAAAGATGTACCTAAATGTATTGCAAATTGCAGCCTACCTCCGTAAGCATTTTTCTCTATCAAATCATTTTCTCACTGCATTGATGAGAAAAAGTAACATACTGGAAGGAAATTAACCCGGCAGGCGGTGGGCCTCCCAGCCACCTTCCGCGCGGTGGGGGGGGGGGCATTTTTTTGCCCCCCCCCCCCCTCGTATCTCCGAAACTACTGGACGGATCCGAAAAATTCAAACGGCGTTCGATAGCCCTGTCAACTTTGTAGGAGGAAACCAAATTTCATTGACCTCGGGGTCACCGATGACGTCACAGGTCAGGTCAAAGATAAAATGTTTCACCGTTCACGGGGCTTCTAGGGCAAGCGCTATAACACCGAGTAAAACGCATTTTGTCGAAAATCAGCGATAAGGCGTCAGTTGTCTAGTACATATGTTGCTATTAGAGGTCACTGGTCATACCAGGTCAGGTCACAGGTCAGGTCACCAAAGGTCACCAAGGGTCACCACATGAACCCAACTTTACTAAGGTTGTGCGATGCATGTTTTATGACCAGTTTTTCATTTCCAACTCAATGGTATTGGTTATAAGACCATCAGGTACGGTTTAGGTCACTTTCTGGTGGAGGTCAGGTTAAGGTCAGGTCAAAAAATGTCAAATTTCAAAGTTGATATTTTTGCATAAAATGGGTATCGATTCGATGCAGTCACGGGGAGTCTAATGGTGGTCTTTATTTTGCGCTAAGAGGTCTAGACTTGCTAAAAATTGAGTTTGAAAATTTGACGTCATCAATTTTGAACAGTTTTTTCGCTATGACTTGGCCAAAAAAAGAGGTATTGATCTCAAATTTGGTATGTAGATAGAAGGCGGTAGGGACTATCACATATATTCCGCTTTTTTCGAAATTCAAAAAACCTTTTTGATTTTTCGGTTATTATTTTCAAAAAATCTATTTTTTTATTTTTGGGGGTCAAAATCCAAAAAATTCGAGAAACCGAAATAGCAGTTTTGTATTCCTCTCGATTCCACACCTTTTATGTTGGAAAAAATTTTCTGTATCTCTAAAGCTGTAGGCCTGACAGCTCTTTCCGCGAAACCTTTTTTTGGGTCGAAAATGGCAAAAATGAGGTCACTCTGACGTCATTAGCGGCCAACCTATCAAAGCCTTTCGAAAAAATTTTGGTCACCATGTGCGCTAGCTACTCCCGGGAGGGTACTGAAAGTTTGGTGACGATCGGCGCAGCGGTTCTCGAGATATATCGAAAAAACTAAAGGGGGGCAAAAAAATGCCCTCCCCCACCGCCTGGAAGGTTAAAAACGCTTCCATAAGCTTGGGATGTTTGAGGCAGTGTGGCTATTTGAAACAGTATGTAGTGGTTTAGTAAATCGCCAAAAAAAAAAATGAAAACCGTTTGATATTTTTTTGTCATTTTTGCTTAGGTAATTTACCGTTCGATTGCACACCAACCTGAGCCAAATGACAAAACAATATCATAAGTTTTCATTTTAGGTATATTAATTTTACTAAAACATTGCGTACTGTCTCAAATAGCCCCGCCTTACGGTACTGACTGCAAATCATTGAAGCGATAATGTGCATGCCCTCTCTCAATGCTCCGGTAACCGTGCTATGCTCTGATTTCAGGGGAGGTGGGCAAGGACATGTATATCGTCAACAAGGGTCGTCTTCAGGTGGTGGGAGATGACGGAAAGCAGGTGCTCGCCACACTCAAGGCCGGCTCCTACTTCGGCGAAATATCCATTCTCAACATGGGAACGGCAGGTGAGACCGGAGCAGTCTTGGCGGCGTGATCTTTCTGATATTAGGTAATTATCTACTGACAAAGGTAAACACGCGCGCTGTTTTGAGTGAATGCCGACAACAGATGATTTTGTGTTTACATGCCGTTGTACCATACACGAATAATTCACCAATTTTCCTGTTTTCGTCGGTATGTGAGGCGGGTACATACAAAGCCGCTCGCCTTCTTTTTGTCTGACGTACAGGCACACCAATGGATATCCGATATTCCACTGAATGTTGATGTAAGCCCGTTAAAAGTAATACATTAACAAACACGTACAATAATACACCACTTAACACCCATCGACATCCGCCAACAGCAGTATAAGCTCTGAGAAAAGCTTGATTTGATGCAGTCGACGGTGTTCACTTACTACTTTCAGTAGTTACCTGGAATGCGTTTAAATAAAACAACCGTTTGCAAAGTTTTTGAAGCTCTGCTAAAAACGCAGTCCACGGCTGCAGCCAGCCCCCAGATCTGGAAGTTATTTATTTTGCCGCGTGGCCAAACATACACAGAACCCTACCGCGCATTTCATCATAACTCTTTTCAGCACATCTGGTCACAATTTCCGCCTAGCTGGCGGGTTTAGAGGCGCGCGCTGTCTGTTTTCCGGCGTGTCTGGCGGTCACAAAGCGGCCATGTTTGCCCGGGACGGCCGGTTGGACGGCGCCGCGCCCCGGCCCGCCGCTCTGACGGACAAGCGGCGGCTGGCGGCGGCCCTTTTTGTGTCGGGTACATCCCGCATACAGACGCTCGGCAGACGACACAATGGAGACGACGCACGCTTGGTCGGCGCTGAGCTCGGCGGGGGGGGGGGGGGCTGTGGACCAGGCTGAGGTCCGCCGGAGACGTTCCCGGTCTCCGGCACAAACTCTCTCTGGGACCATCCCCGGGGGGAGTGGAGCTACCGCGTCACTCACCACGAGCTCAGGGACTGCCAGGCCCCCACACCAGCGTCCATTCCGTCTCAGTATTTCTCGAGATAGCACGTAAAAAAGGCGACGCCAAATAGAGCCCGACGATTAAACAAATATCTGAATTGTGCCTTGTGATATCTGGGCTGCATCCCAGTTAGACATAGCAGCACTGCACACGATGAAGCATCACACATCATATACACATACCATTACCCACTCACACATGAGCACCGAGATAGCAGTATCTAGCTCACTTTCCACATAGAACGGTGTGTTACAGGAATAACTAAAATGTTGGCATCTGATCCGTTGCCAGCCCAGGATTTTTTTCTGCGAGTGATGTTATCGTCCATCTAGGCTGACGGTTACTGATGTGCCGTCCTGGTGGCGCAGTGCCTTTGCGCTCGATAAACTGAAAATTCACGATGAAGTTTACTTGTTGAAGCACTTGCTGTATGTAAGGCATAGGTATAAGTTCTATGAGAAAAAACACTTTTAAATGGCCTCCTTACAATGAAATACCGAAAGATGAAATAATGAAATAATTATTGATGATTTCGACCACAGGTCATTATCAAAATAAGCCAGACAGGTCTGGCTTGCTGTCTGGCTTATTTTGATAATGACCTGTGGTCGAAATCATCAATAATTATTTCATTATTTCATCTTTCGGTATTTCATTGTAAGGAGGCCATTTAAAAGTGTTTTTTCTCATAGAAAATTCACGATGTCTGAAAGTCACAATAGGCTTTGAATGACGATGAACGTCATGGTGATTAAACTGTAGACGGCAGACGGCGGACGTTGGTTGGTGGACGGTGGACGGTGGACGGCACTGACAGACGGTGGACGTTGGTCGGTGGAGGTGGACGTTACCCGGTGGAGGATGGACTGTGGTTTGTGGACGGTGGACGAGAGACAGTGGACGGTGTATGTACGGTGGACAGTGGACGGTGCGGGTGGACAGTGGACAGTGGACGGGGACAGTGGACGGTGGACAGTGGACGGTATATACGGTGGACAGTGACCGTGTGTGTCTGTTTTCCCAGGGAATCGTCGGACGGCCTCGGTGCGGTCGGTCGGCTACAGTGATTTGTTCGTCCTCACCAAAAAGGACATGTGGGACGTGCTCAAGGTAGCGGCGCACGCCTCTGCTCGTGATGCGTATAATATGTTGAGTGATAAAACCAGACATCTGCCAGAATAAAGTGGATTTCTCTGTGCGTACCAAATTTTTAGTTTTTGTTTCTGGCCTGTTGAGGCAAATAACTTTCAATGGTTCGTTATTATTATATGGATTATGGATGGATGGATGTGATGGATATGGTTAGTTCCCCTACAATCGATTCGCAAATTATTCAGAAGTTCAACAGTGTCCTCATTAACAACACCAGTTCCAGTGAACTGCCTATATGATTTAGCTGCTCCTAAATACCCACCCACCAGTCGATTAAATCACATCCGCCATGCCCGTATACTGAAGATGAGCTGTCGCCTTTCAGGAGTATCCTGCAGCTCGCGTAAGACTAGAAGCCATCGCTACCAAACGCCTAGAGAAGAACAAAAAGGGACCGATGGATAGAGGTGAGATGACTGCAACAAATGGTAGATGGTAGATGCAAGGTCTGAGATCGCGCAAAACACCACGCGGTGAAGCCCGTCACGATCTCGGGCAGGACTCAGCCTTGACCCGGCGTGACTCGACAGGGACGTACCCGGCACACAGCTGGGTCGTGTCCTGTGCCCTGCAGCGGCCCGCAGCGAGGCACAGCTGTGCGCGCCGCACGGACACGTCTGTGTGCGCCGCCCGGACATGTCTGTGTTCCACCGCCCGGACACTACGGGACACAGCTGCTGTGCGCCGCCCGGACAACGCGCGGCGCCCTGCCGCTCCCGCCCGCCCGCCATAATGAGGTCATTTACATTGTCACTGTTTGCCCGCCAGCACGCCTAATATGCGTCAGAAGACAGTAATGACCGCCCGCTGTTGACTTCTGCGCGGCTGGGCAAATATTGGCGATTGGCCCGCGGTCGGGCCGCCGGCTGCCGCTCGTCCTACGTGCGGGGCGCGAGGACAGGGCACGTACCGAGCCGGGCTCATATGCGAAAGGACAATTGCTGTATTTTAATTGAGCAAAAATGTTCACCTTGACTTGGCTGCAGTAGGGACATCTGAACAGAAGGTATTTAGATCAGAACATATGCTGCTAACATATCATTCGATAGTGTGTCAGATACGGTAGACACACGTAAAGGCTCATCGTTTAAAAACAGTGAACTGTCAGCCCCTTTGCGTGAGCAAACTGACATTCAAATAACACATCTGATATGCGTGTTACCCGTTACGGTAGTTAAATACAGGCCTGACAGCGAGCTGGGTCATTATCAGCGTCATTGGGCCGGCTGCACGGCCAGTGTGGGTGGCTGCGAGCCCCCGAGGGCCGGCCGGCCGCCTCTCCAAGTGCTCGGCAAACACACAGCACTAATCGATCGGCCCGCCAGCCGGCGACCTCAACCGTCGGCAGCTGCCGGGGCAGCTGTCAGCTGACCCCGGAGCAGCCGTCAGCTGACCTCGACCGTCGGCAGCTGCCGGAGCAGCCGTCAGCTGACCTCGACCGTCGGCAGCTGCCGGAGCAGCCGTCAGCCGGTCCGGGAGCTGCTGTCAACTGATCCGGGATCCGGGAGCTGCTGTCCGCTGGCCTGTCTGAGCTGATAGCAGCCGCCTCAGCCAGCTGCCAAGGGTCGCAGTGCTTCAGTTATCAGCGTCATGTTAACCATTGTCTCTGCTGCCGTTGCTCTGTGATCAGCACTACAATAATTACAACAGATTGCACCACTGCCACGTCGACCGTACTGTCCTGATTGTACTCTTCACTGCCCCCTCGGCTGGTATCTGACCCGCGCCCTCCCGCCGTCCCACAGCTTAGCAGCTGCACGCGCTGACATGGCAGCTGTCCTGACGTCTGAACCGCCCCCTCCCGGCTGACGTGTGACCTGTGCCCCCCCCCCTCTCACAGCCAAGCAGCTGCACGCGCTGCCGACCGTGAACGGTATGACGCTGGGCCGGTGCAACTCCACTCCGGGCCTGGTGGAGAGCTCGGGCCGCGTCAGTCTGCAGGAGATGTGGCTCAGCGACCGGCCGCCCTCCCACCGCAAACACTCCGTCTTCAGCGTGGGCAAGTCGTGCGTCAGTCCCGACTCCAGGTCAGTGGTAGTCGGACGGGCAGGGCATGGTGGGCGAACCATGACCAGGGCACTGGGTTGTCGGACGGACAGTGCAGTGGTCGGCCGACTCCAGGTCAGTGCAGGACGGCGGCCAACGGCGGTGGGTAGGCCGACGGACAGGGCAGTGCAGTGGGTGTCCGACAGCTAGGGCCGTGGGCGGCCGACTCCAGGTCAGGTCAGTGCAGGACGGCGGCCAACGGCGGTGGGTAGTCGGACGGACAGGGCAGTGGGCGTCTGACGGACAGGGCACTGGGCAGCCACGGACACGGAGGGAGGCACAACCAGCCAGTCACTGTCGGGACATGTCACATTCACAGACCGCCTGCCACAGGGGCAGGTGGCAGTGAGAGGGGGTCGTCATTTGTGCAAAACACACTCAGCCATTACAAGCTGAAGCCGAATTTAAAGAAGCTGTTCTTCTTATTGTTAACTTTAAGGTATTGCAGCCCGTTTCAATCCCAACGCCCATCTTAGTAAGGATAGCGGTAAAATAGGCTGTTTCATCAGACCAGGTAGGCGGTAATTTGCGTATCATCGGTGGTTACCACCCACACTGTGCAGAACTCACTATATCCGCTAAATTGATGTATGTAGGTATAAACGTTGCAGGTTTTTCCCTACGACTTATGTATAGCTCATTAAACTATGTAGCCTATTTTCAAAGTATAATGCAAAGATCAAAAGCAACATAAACTTTATGTAATTGAACATGTATCGTGCATCATCGCAGAATTTACCATTATTCTACTGAGTCACATAAATAAAGGTGACACATAAATAACCTCAACTGTGAGTCGCCGCCGTTGCAATGTGCAATTTCCCCGTGCGGGATTGTCCGGCACCCACCCACATAAACGGATGGTTTTACAGTCGATCAGGTCGTTATATTTGATGGCTGCGATGGGACTATCAGCCTCCGCAGCGCCTGCCCTGGCTACCCGTCCAGTAACGCCGGGCTGCTAAGTTACCCCGAACCTGCCCCAAACGACCGACACATATGTATATCTAACTACAGGCCTACACTGCAGGCGAAACAAGATAATTCGGTAACCATGTTGCAATGTATTCACAATAAATAAATACCTATACTCGAATGCTCCCGTTGCAAATGATTGGAACTACTGACTAGCATGGTCGTGTTGACTTGGCGAGCTTCAAATGTTTACCTTTGTGATTTGTTACGACGCTACCTCACCACAAATAACTCGCCATTTGCCATAGCCATATTCCCAAGTTTCTGTCCATATTCCCGGCTAGGTCTGTGCGCCAGTGCGTGCTGTGCTGTCGGCTCTCGGCGCTCTGCCGGCCGCTCCTTGCTCTGCCGGCGGTGGCGGCGTGCCCCAGGGGGCAGACGGACCATTTGCAGGCCTCCGGCGGCCGACGCCACTCCTCAGTCTTCTGCGATTAGCTGCCCGCCCCCCCCCCTCTCGGAGGGGAGCGGTCGGTCGCGCACCTCCGCAGTCGACTGCCCACCGGAGGAGGGGGGGGGGGAGGGTCAGCGGACGGCCAGTGGCGATGAAACATGTGGAAGGGAGGTAATCAAATCACTGCCGGGTCGGACCAAATCTGGCCAATTGCACGCGCTTGTCCCATTTCTGGGTAGCTCAACAGATGGCTCCAGAATCGGTAATGGCCACATTTGGCGTGAGGGTGCATTTATTAGTCGATTACATCAAAGGCCGGAAAGCAGCAATGATCACCGGTGCGCAGCCTGTGATGATATACCTTTCAATCACACGGAAGGAGATCAAACGTGCTATCCGGCCGGCTGCTGCCCCAACAGACGTAGGTTTAGTTAATGTTCCACTCACCATTTTTAGCACAACATGCAAAGGAGCGGCTGGCGATGCCTGAGGTGGACATGCCTATGTGCGCTTAACCCTCGCCCGTAAACGGTGTTTTGCCACCTTCGCCCATGCAGGGGGGGGGGGGTTGGTGCGACCCCCCTGGCGTTTGAAAACGGAGCGTCGTAAAGCTTAGCGGAAAAGACCAACGGATTGCTCTCAACGAGATCTCGCGATTGGTGGTATATTTTTTGGTCCTAGGCCAACATTTGACCTACTTATGACCGGTCAAAGGTCAAATTTTCGGAAAAATTTATCTTTTTCAGATTTCCGCGCCGATTGCGGCAAAACGGTAAGAGATATCGACTTGAAACCTTCACTATCGTGATCCTTGATCAATTCTCTATCGTCTGGTGTGCATTTCGATGTCATAACTCTAAAAATGATGCGTTGGGAGCATCGGAAGTCTGCAAGGTAATTTCTGCATTGGGTCACGTCAGGCGTGTGACGTCACTGACCTGACCCTGACCCAAAATGAACTACAAAAAAAAAAACAACCGACGATGCCTGAAATGGATAGCAAATTCGAATTCAGGGCATCAAAATACCCCGAAAAGGCATACAAGTGCAAGAAGTCATTACAGGTCAACCGAGGTCACTGACCTTACCTTGACCTTAAGTAACCTTCAAAATGTCAACGGACATTGTGCCAATGTCAAATCAGCCAGTTGTGATTCTAAAACAATCCATCAGTGTGTCAGGTCAGTCGGCATTTATACCAATGTGAAGCAATCTCCAATTAAGCGTAAATCTGGCCGGAGGTTGTTCCCTTTATGACGTCATAACTCCGTGACCTGACATGACCTTGACAAAAAAAGTTGCGTAAAGGATGCCCCATAGGGTACTGAAAAATTTGAGCAGGCTATCTGAAACGGTTCGGCGTGTAGCTAAGAAAAACCTCAGGGGGGGGGAGGGGTTGCACCAACCAAGGCCTCGTCTAACATGTTAACTGGGGGGGCCAAACCCCCGCAGTCATCGACCTGGCCCCCCCAGTCAGGGCAAAAAGTCACTACTGGGGGGGGGGCGGCAATAGCCAAAAGGCAAACGAATTTTTATTTCGAGACATCAGTGCACATAAAAACAAATGCGTAAACGAAACGACGCAATGTGAGAACATTGAAATACCCCATTACCTAGGGCTGTTATGTGTTTATTTTGTTTATACCTGAACCATTTTTTCGCTCAGCAATACGTTACATTTCGTCTTTTCAGGCGCCCAACACCGTGTCCCGGATATTCTTTTTTTCATAAATTTATTCCGAACCTTTTGAATGGAAGGATTCACAACTCGTAAGTACAGAGCCCCCGCCCGCTAAGCAGAGCTTTGCATTGGCCCTGCCCTCTACCCTCCGATCGCGCAATTCGTGATTCATGGCAGAATTTAGAGCCCAAAGTTTAACGTATGCACAAAGCCGCGCACGGCCGGTCCCCTCACTGACTTCGAATGGCTACGGCCTGCCACCAACCGTAACGTAACCATACTCGCCAGGGGGCTCATAAAGTTCGAGCGATGTCGCGCTTCGAACCCGGACTGTTATAACCGGGACGCGTGCCCTCACTACGCGGAGTCCAAGGCTCTACCGGCAAACATTTCTCCTTTAGGTATCAATCTGTTGTTTCTGTCCTCGGGGCGTTAATCTGTTGTTTTTGCCAATCGTCGTCCTCACTATACGGCGTCCAACTTCCGGCTGGACGGTCACCGGTGTGCGGCTAGAGTAGCTCCTAATCGTAATGAAGCAGGCTCCCGTTCTGGGTGGTCGTACGTAGGCGCAGATGCCAGATTGGTGGTCTGTGTGTGGGGACGGGAGCTCTGACAGCTGGATTATCTAAAGAAGTCGGCATGGAGTCTTGGAGGGCAAATGCCAGCCACTTACGGTCCCAACGGGCCTCAAAGCACTACTACACGGGGTAATCTTCATTTTTGTTTAGTTTATAGCCTCTGACGACCTTAAGGTTGTGGCACCGATCCATGCTTCTATCCTCAGGATACAGAAATCCTTCTCCTCCACTCCGCAGCCCCCCTCCGGGCTGGACAGGCAACTTTATCTCATGCGGGCTGCTCCCTTGGAGCGGCACCGCTGCTCCCGAGGGAGCGCACCCCGTAGCCGGGTGCAGTGAGTGCCTTGGGGCTGGATGGCCTGTCCTCTGGACGGGCTCAGCCCCGGCGACTCACTAGGGTGCCTGCCCAGACCAATGTCTCCCCCTATATCCTATCATCCTCCCGGCTCTGAAATGGTCTAATTGGACCGAAAGGGCCTAACCCAACAAAACAAAACAACAAATAAGGTTGTGGCGATTACGGAGAATCCACCTGAGAAGCCACCAGTCTCCAAGTTGATACACAGGCATTACACTGGTCTGAGGGGGCCCTAGTGGGAAAATACGGTCTCCACTCAGATTGACCCTGAAAGCCTGGTATGGATCATATCATCATATAAAACCAGTGTGGGCTACCACAGATGCCGACGTAGGTCCAGAAGCTGGCATTAACCCTCAGAGATCGGCATCGAGCGCTCAGAGGGGCCCATCAGAAACCGATGTGGTTCGCAAAAAATAATATGCGTGTGGGCCCTCGACATAAGGCTCGGCATGCAAATTCCTTAGACAAGGCACTGCCACTCAAACACACGCTCAACAACGAGAAGTGTGATTATTATTGTCTGATGGGGCAATGTGAGGAGGCTATTAACTAATATACAAGCATGGGTCGGATGGCCTACTATTTTTTTTTTGTTAAAAAAAAACAAAAAAAATATTCATGGTGTCAGGGCTGTGATGAAAAATAAGTGGTCTAAATCCGGTGAGAAAACAGGATTTGGGGGTACCCTAGATTTGGCTCCTTCAGTCTCTGGCCCCCCCCCCCCCAGTGAAAATTCCTTAGACGAGGCCCTTCCAACCCCCCCCCCCCCCCCCTACATGGGCGAGGGTTAGAATGTTGGAACAGGTCCGTAGTTTATGGTTTCTACCACCTTTCATCCAGTTCTAGAGTTAATTGCTTTGGTAATTTTGCTATCCGAAGCGCCTAACCTCAGTTACAGCGGCTGTGCTGTAAGTGGGCAGCTCTCGCCGAACTGCACGGCTCCCGGGACACTTATCGATCAGCGGGTCAGGCGGCCAGTAATTTCTGAGAATGAT